ACTGACATTTAATGATGCAACATATAAAGAAAACAATTTGTTGGTTATTTTAATGTTATTAGTATTTTAGTGTAGTTATGATTCTATTGAAACGAGTCGAATATTCTATTGAAACGAGTCGAATATCTTTTAGTTATATTTTAAGACTTGGGGTTCCAAGGGGCATTTTTTTTTTCTCTTTGCCAAAGGACCCAAACTTTGTGTCCATCAAGAGGGCATCATTGTTTTCACCTTTAAAACTCTATGTATATATAGAAGACTTGAACATTGCAAAACAGTTCGAACATCATGAAATATGTTTATCTTCTGCATGCAAACTTGTCTCTGGATACGCATTGATTGCAATCTGTTTTTGTATTTCAAAATTTTGAATATGCACGTATTCCAAATCAATTTATTATTGGATTATTCCAACCCCACCCAGATCGAAATCATAAATGTTAAAAAATGTTTTTTATACAAGATCATTGAACTATCCAAGTATATTGATTGATATTCTAAACCCAAAATCTAACACAACTAAACTAGAACAGGCACAAACGATTGTGATACCATTTATCCAAGTCTTCACTTTTAAATTTGCACTAATATATAGATTTATACGAGTACCTACACTCACATATATCTACTAGGTGTAAAGCCTTTTAGCACAAAACTATCCATAAACTTTGAATAACCATGCTACACAAAACTAAAAACCAAATTTCCAACAATCGTTTTATTTATATACAATCTTAATTAAGAAGGGTAGAATCATCGCCACACTTACGGCCATGCTTCTTGTCTTTGTCTTTGTTTCTATCTGATGGCAGCTTGTTTTCGATCATCTGTTCAGATTTGGAGTTCTTAATTCGCAGCCTCCCGATCCGATTGTTTGCTACCGTGTGGGAAATTGAGGAGAGGACTGGATCGTAGACGTCTGGGGCCCACTTCACTGTCAGCTTTTGAGGTGGGGTCACTCCTCGTTTCTCTCGGCTACCTTTCATGGCTAATACAGGCTTCCGAGCAGTTTTTGGTTGTTTCTTAGAGGGGTTTCCTCCATGGCTACTGATCATAATCATCTGGTGGGTGGGTTTTCTTAGAGCATTCATTCTTATGAAATCTTGAACGTATAACTAGCCCTTGTATACTCTTTATATATATAGACGGTAGCAAGGGAGTATTACCTGTAAGGAAAGAATGTAGATCGTAACAAGGAAACCTAATGGAAATACGAACGTTCATTGTGGGTTTGATTAGTTATCTTGTTACAAGGATTGACAATTTGATTTGTAATCGTGTTACAAGAACTTCCGTTTGATTTGTTTCCTTATCTTGATTTGTTATTTAATTTGTGGTTAATAAAATAGTCGGGTTTATAACCTAGTTCTTTTAATATAATAGTAAATTTATTAATGCAAACTTAAAAAATACAAAATGCTAAGTTACTAAGGGGGTGTTTGTTTTTTTGTTTTTTTTAGATCTATGTAACCACTTTGTCTGAGCCGTGCACACGCATGTCCTCGCAAAGTGTTTGTTTTTTTAGAAGTACTTAGATCAAAAAATATCTGCGCGAGGTCTTCCTGGCGCAAACATGGACTACTGTCTTCAAATGTGTTCACGCCTCATTTTAACCTAAACAAAAAAAAAACGTCGCCTATCTTTTTTTCTTTTCTCCGCCGCTTATCTTTTATGCTGAAAATGTTTTTTTTTTTTTTTTTTTTTTTTTATGACCTAAAATTAAGTTTGAAAAAATAATTTATTTCATTACCTGCAGACGTTAAAAAACAAACTTTTTATTGTAAATTGCAGACATTTGGTCCACCTCTTCTGCTGCAAAAACTTACAGATATGGTCCGCAAAAGGCATATATTTTTGCTTCAAAAAAATAAACAACACCTAACACATTTTTACAAATCAATGTTACATCTTTTTTAAAGTACTTTAAGAACAACTTTATTATCGATCTCTAATGAAAGAATGGATGGTATATTATACAAGATGTAACCAAGTGGATTAGAACTACTTCAATACTAACTAGATACAAAGTAATCTACTTAAATAATGAATCTTTATCTATTACACCTGGCGAGAATGGGAGGAAGATTGTCACTGAAATCATTAGATGAAACAAAAGGTATTACTTTGACTCAAGTAACGCTTGAGAATCGCGAGTATTAGATCACCTCGATTATAATTTGGCTAATTATAATCTGGCTAACGTGTTAGCTCCAAGCACTATCATACAACAACAAATTATAAGGAAATACATTTTTCATGGGTAATACGAGATTTACGTTTTTTTAGAACGGATTTTGTTTTATTTCCTTCAAAATTTTAACTTTTGAAAATATTCAATTTTAAACTCATTTTATAACTTTAATAGAAGCTTCAATTTCAAATTTAAATGCAATCAAAATAAGAAACAACACAAACATGTGCAAGTAATGATACCACCGGAATCCTATGTGTCTCCCCTATGAACCATCAAAGAGAGACAAGTCGTACTAAGGACAAATAAACACTTCAAAGCTCTCACTTGATCAACCACCAATTGAGCCCTTGATTAATTAACAAACTAGATCCGTATTATTCTCTCATGTGAATAATTTCTTAATCCGTCCTTACGTGTAGCCCAAAAGGGCTCTATCATTATGTGACGTCCCACAAATTACAAAGAGAGTTTTCAGTTTCAAAATAGATTAACCAATTAAAATCTTAACTTAAAATCAATAAGTGACTTTTATTAGTTTGAAACCATCATGTTATCCGAGTTGAATTACCAAAATAGTGGAACAAATATCTTCGATGTGAGTGTACCGTCCCACCGAGCCCTTTACACAAACAACCTGTAAAAATATTTTATCTACAACTATAAGCATACATCTTTGTGACTCCCCCAGTATACTACATGCCATCATATATACAATGCATCCAAGCAAAATCCTCGGCTCTAGTGCCGACCTACCATCTCTCCTATCCACATACATACAACATAAACACAATCATACATAACGGGATGTCTATGTATTTGTGTGGTGATGTTTCGAGTGAAAAATTTTAGTCTAAAATTCAAACATTGAAAAACATAACTTTCTTGTCAACGGTTAAACCAAAAACCTACTCATAATCAACCTCACCTAGATTTTAAAACATTGAGTAAACTTGTGCAAGCAGCTATTTCACTACCAAACCTCATCATCCTACCACGTTGTGATAAAAGGTTTTCCCCAAAAATCTCATCTTTAAAGTCCTTAAGTCTTCAGTTGATCAAATCAGGAAAACAAGTGTTATAACTCTCTCCCAATTAAATTAGATTTCATCGAAATTTGTTCTTACCCATCACTCCTTAAACACCCTGCGAACTCCTTAAGGATTCTTTCGAGCCTACTCCTTTCTACACTAGCTGTCACATCTCTCTTCACTAAGGTTTGTAGATAGCAATTTAAAGGTCTCCATGAACAGACACAAACCCCATTCCTGAACAAAACGTTTAACAATCAAATTCCCATCCTAATGCATTATTGGAATAATACTCTAAAGATGATGAAGAGTTCATTTTTGTCAAACTATTATTTCAGTGCAATCTGGGTTTTTTTCCATCTTATTTGCATGTGGAGAGAGAGAGGTGGGGTTTATTTTATTTTCTATTTTTTATAATTATTTAAATGCTAAAACAAATAAAAAATATAAAAAGAAATAATAATAACAAAATAGTTGTTTCAACTTTTTCAGGACCCCTTAAACTTCCTGATGTTGAACATTCCATGCAAATCCACAACTTTTTAGACAATATCCATAATTTTTGAAAAACTATAGGGACCAATTTTCCACTTTTTTCAATTATCTACCATTGATGAATTATCTAATGTTAATGATTACGTTTGAAAGAATGGGTTGATGGATAGTAGACATTTCAAACATCAATAGTCTTTTGAAAACTATTTTTTTTTAATGTAAATAAGAAAAAAAAAGCAGACGTTATATGATATTGTTTATGTTTATTAGTCTAGAATGACCCATTCCAATTAGAAATATAACTAAATTGGTTATTTTACGAAAACACAATTTTTTTTTATTATTTTATTAAAACGTTAGTTTTGGTTATTTTTTTAAATATCCTCATTCGTTTTATTCATATTTATCTTCCTACCCTATCAAATGTTGACATGTATCATATTTAATGACACATTTAATGAAATTGATAATATTTTAATCCACTTGTCACCATTTTACGTGGGTAGAAGGATAGTAGGAATAAAATATAGGAAGATATTTAATTTCTCTTTTTATTTATATCAATACAGTTAATTATATTAGGAAGTTGATTCAATATGAGTAGACTTGTTTTTTTAGAATATTGGATATGAGCAACATTACACCATCTCTCTTTCACCACAAGATTTGGGGATGATAATGAAGACGGGAACGATGTTGAGAGAAGAAAAACATAGGAAAGAAAGAAAATGGCATTGAGGGGCATTACGCTGGCAACGAGAAGCAAAGGAGGGGGGGAGGGGATGGGGGTTGGCGTTACCACGACGTTGTGGAGGTACCACGTAGGCTCCTCCACGGCGTTAAAGTATCCATACTGCATGGTCTTATCAACGAGTAAATGAGAAGCAATAAAAAAAAACTCGATTGAAAAAGAGCCAATGAAGAAATGCTCCCTTAATGCTTTCAAACATGGTTTTTTTAGTTGAGTTGATGTGGCGGGTCATTGGTCAACGAGCTCAACTATAGTCAAATCAATAAGATTTTCAAAATTATATATATATATATATATATATATATATATATATATATATATATATATATATATATATATATATATTAAATACCAAAATAGGAGTGTGAGACAATTAAGCATAATTATTTTTTAAGTTTTCATACTTGCTGTTCTTTTTACATTTTTCTCCCTTTATTTTTATTTGTTTTTATATTTTGTACCCTGAACTAATTTTGATATAACAATTTTTATCTTTATAGTTTTAAAATTTATATATATTTATATTCTTTCTCCTTATTTAATATTTATTTAACAGTTTTCACCCATTATAATTTTAAAGTTAAATTATTAGTATTTTATACATTATAATGTCAATTGTTTGTATCCATATTTTATTTTGATATTTTTGTGTTCCACTTTACATGATTTAATTATCTCAATGGTATATATGGTATCAAACTACATTTTTTAATATACCGGATCTTCCACAACAACGCGCGGATGGTCTAAACCCTAGTTATACATAAATACATGCATACATTTAAAACTACGTATAGACATACACATGTTTTTCAAACGTATTTTGAGTTTTTGTCAACTTTTCAAGATGCAATTGACCAAGACGGGATGTCTACGTATTTGTGTGGTGATGTTTCGAGTGAAAAATTTTAGTCTAAAAATTAATGTCCAAAAATTCAAACATTGAAAAGCATAACTTTCTTGTCAACGGTTAAACCAAAAACCTGTTCATAATCAACCTGACCCGGATTTTAAAACATTGAGTAAACTTGTGCAAGCAGCTATTATTTCACTGCCAAACCTCATCACCCACGTATAACTCAGTCTTCGTCCTCTTGGTCCTTTTGAGTCTTGGCTCCCTCCCTCCCTCCTTCTCTCTCATACCACACTTTGCGTGGTAAAATTGACATGACACCTATGTGGCAAGGAGGGAGTGTGGTTCTTGTGTCACCACACCCTCCTCCCTAATTGCACTATCATTTACCCAAACTTTTACCTTTATTTTTCACTAATATAGAATTTTACGAGTCCACCCACACATACCTAAGAGTAATTTGCATCAGGTATAAAGCATTTAGTACAAACCCATCCATAATTTTTTAATACTTGTACTACCAGAAATACACGCAAATCTGTGAAAATTTCACACAAAATCAACAGAACTTCAATCACTTTTTTATTTACAATCTTAGACAAGGATAGCGTACCTGGTTTGCGTCATACCTATTCAGAAAGCCGGTCCCACAGAATTGATCTGGATTTCCGACATGAAACTCCATGGCGGCTGGTGGTGGCAGGCCATAATCACCATCACCCACCGCCTCCTCCTCCTGTTCAGGCAGCTTGAAACCAGCGGTGGAAGAATCACCACCACGCTTCCGGCCTTGTTTTTTGTCTTTGTATTTACTTCCACTTCCACGTGATGACTTGTTTCCATTCTTCTGTTTGGATTTTGTGTTTTTCTTGGTTTGTCTTTGAGGCTTGTTGTTTCTGTTTGTTACCGTGTGGGAAACTGAGGTGGGGACTGGATCATAGACGTCTGGGGCCCACTTAACTGTCAGTTTTTGAGGTGGGGTCACTCCTCGTTTCTCTCTGCTACCTTTCATGGCTGACACAGGCTTCCAGGCAGTCTGTAGGGAAGACAAAATGTCAAGGGGCAAAATGGTAATTTCACTTCTTCAAAGAATCAATCAGCAAATATCGAAAATTGTAATAGAAAACAAAGTGGATTTATATGTTCGGATCATGAAGGCTCGATATAATAGGCTAATTGGATTTATAATTAGGGTTAAATGCAAGACATAGCAACCTACTTTTGTATATCTGTTTATTATATAATATAGCATCCTACTTAGAGGTAATTTCACTTCAAAGAATCAATCATCAATGGGTTGATTTATGTTTATGCTAACAGGGATAATATATTGAGATAAAGGCAATACGTACAGGCAAAGATGGAGGATGTGAGCAAGTTGGATGAACAGATTTAAGGTTGTCACAAGGTGTAGGCTCATTGACAGTTATGGCTTCTACAGATGCTCCTGGAGAGAGTGTGGACTCGATTGAACAAATAAATGTTGGATTGCTGAAATACTTCTCATATTTTCCATGTGGTGGTTTAGAGCCTGGAACCACATCTTTGTCATCTTGGATATTCAGAAACTGAGTGACATTGTTCCCGAGTTTATCCACAGAAAGATTTTGAGTGGATTCAGGTGTGTGTATATACAATCCATGGCAGTTGTTTACATCAACAGAGGTTGATAGATCAATGTCCATTGGCACAGGTTTGCAGCTGCAAATGAAATGTAATGATTTGTGACTCTAGTAAAACTCAAAGTTCTGAATATGCAATAGATTAGTACCCTGCACATTAAAGCACCTCCATGTTGATTCGGAAGAACAACCAATTCTGTTTTAGGGCTCATTGTTCATTGCCTTTAGCTTGTTAATGCAGACATACACAATTCAATTCATTGCCCAGAATACTAACAGCATGTTACAGTATAATTTGTTTTGACTTTCCTCTTAAATGTTGTTAAACATGCAGATCAGCAGTTGGATTGTTGGAATCACAACAATTAAAAAAAATACTTAATTACTGAATCTAGCATTAAACTGAAGTTTGCAAGCAAATGAGTGAATGGAACAAGAACTAAGAAAACATGTACGCAAAATGAAACATTATAGGAATTGTTTCTGACACAGAGAATGTGAATCCACTGTATATACACATGTGATGTAAATCTATCAGAAATGCAACATCTACACGGGGATCAGCCCAATGCGTCGAAGTGAAAGAGAAATATGTAAATATGTAACGAATATGTACCTTTTTGTTAAATAAGATCTGTTTAATCCAAACTTCAACACGCACCTGAATCAAACAGTCCAGGATACCTCGAGGCGGGTTTCACTTATCGATCGCGCGATCAGACTCCGATTAGTCGAGGAGAGCGAGTTCGCCGTACCAGAGGCGGAATATGGTAATAAAATCGAAAAACGAGAGGGAAGATAGATTGAGAAGATTACACAGGGCAAAAGCTACAGATGCTAATTAGACGGAAAAGGACGAATAATAGGCTGAGTGTTAACTAAGATTACCACGACGATCACCTTTTTCAAGACGGGGTTTCAGATGATAAGAACGTGAACTGCTACCATAGAAAGAGGTAACGCAAGGGAGCGTGGAGAACTGGAGTGAAGGCACCATCGTTCGATGCACTTCAAACCCTAAATTACTAGAAAACAACCACCAAATCCCAACTGAAGAAACTCGATTGGCGACCGATTGGATCCGACAGAATAAATGAAAACTATATATGTTGATCGAGGTATCCGATTACATTCAACTGTAGGATCGGACAGCGATGATCGGAATTTAAGAACAATGCTAGGTAACGAGAGAAACTTGCAAGAGTGAAAGGAGCTTTTAGCTAGTGCGATAAACCTGGTCTAGAGAGTGAGACGTTATTGGTTGATGATGGGTCAACGTTGACCTTAATTCACAATGCTATACAAGGTATGCTTTATAGAAAAAAAACCATTTATGTTTTATAAAATAAATAGTTTGTGTACTACACCTAACAATGTAAAATAACTTTGAAAACTGATAAACCTTAAAAATAATAATACATTTTGTCAAGAGTAATGTGCACCATAGTAAAAGGGTATTAGCCCTTAATCATAGATAAGAAACAAAAAATAGTCATAAAGGAATTCCTATATATGATAACAAATAAATTGAATGTTGATTCCACACTTTGATCTTCGAATACTTCAAGAGTGTTCTTCAATTTTGAATATGTTTATGATCTCTAAAATTTGTTATTTTTCTTATTGTACAATGCAACACATTGGATATCAATGAGGAGGTCATTTATTTGAAGGATTCTAGAAATCCTTCTCGTCCCATCATAAATATAGCATTGTTGCGCCACAAATATAGTATTGTCATGCGTGTATCATCATATATTTTTTTTCATTTTGGTCGAAGTAAGAGGATTGGCCGCGATGCGAAAATGAAGTTGTCATGACATTTCTTCTTGATTTTTGGCAACTTTATGATTTAGGTTTCTATATTTTCCTTATCTCTTCATATGAGAATTTATCTATAAAAATATGATTTTAAAGGAGTAATAAAACCATGAATTTAAAGGAGTAATTAAAAAAAAGTAAAACCATGAATTTAAAAGATTAATAAAAAATTATCTACCTGATAGAAATCCCGATTATTCAAGGTCTGTCAATAACTAAAAAGTAATTGTTAATAGTGTTTGCACATGAAAAAATAATTGTGTTTTATAGTCCAAGAACAGTCATCAGGATAATGCTTTTTATAGTCGGTTGCAATAAAAAAGCTATTTTCTGTAAAGTAAGATGCTATAAAATGTTATTTTAATCCCACAAAAATAGTAAATAAATAAATAAATAAAAATGTTTTATAGTCCCAAAGCAATAAAAAAAATTTGTTTTTCACTCCTAAAAATTGACAGATTTTAAACAACCAGTTAAATAGTTAAATCTTCAACTGAGGGTATCTTGAATTTTTTGGGCTCTTGACATTTTTGCCCCTAGTTTCCTTAATGAGTGTTGGCTGCTTATCGGTCTCTGGATGTTTTTGTTTTGGTTGTTCTATTTTGGTGGTCTTGACACATGCAATTATGCTTTCCTAGTTTGGTAATTTGGTGCATTTTGGTGCCTTTGATGTTTTTGCTTGTGACCTGATTTTTCAGAAGATATGCGGAGTTTTTGATTGCTGCTGTTTTTCAGTAGCCTTGTAACGCTTCATCAACTCTGCAATGTATGTATGTATGTATGTATGTATGTGTGTGTATATGTGTGTATATATCCCTTAAGCTTTTATTTAAAAACTTATTAAGTTGTAAAAACACAAAAACAGAATCAGGTTGAGCAAGATGGAGAACTTGGTCGAAGTCATAGACTTATTCGGTTGTAAAAACATGAAAATATAAATATTCAAGGCTTACCTTGTCACACCCTAAGTAAAAATAGATTTCTTGAAGCGAAGGCACTGAAATATAACCGCTCTTCAACACATCAATATCCATCTTAATCCGGTCAGTTGCTTACATCTCCACCTGGTTACCCTACAATTTTAAAGAAAAGAATGTAACATCCACCTTTCGATCTACCACCTGAATTAGAAAGATTATATGAACCCAAAACTTGGTTACCCTACAATTATTACAAATTACAAGTCAAAGCCATTGAAAGTTATTATCTAGATATGGTTAAGCTCCATTGTTCCCCTGTTTACAAAAGAAATAATCAAAATTGTGTCAAAATTAACGAAAATACCCTTTCATTGCATTGTTGCCTAATAGATCGATATACTCCATTACAATCATTTTTATGATGGAATTCTATTGCAAATGGAATAGCAATAAGCAAATAAGTGTTCCTTGTTCTCAATTTATGTCTTATTTTTTTTTAAATGTTTCTTCAAATGGACTGCGATTGTCACTGGCATAATTCTTGTTTTAATGAAGGAAAAAGGTTTAACCACAAAAAAAATAAAAGATAAAACAGCTTGCAAATCCATACAGCCCATGTGACATCCCCAAAATCCCGGCCAGAAAAGACCGATTTTTCATTTATGCTTTTAAATATTTTCAGAGTAAATCCTTTTGATTTGAAAGAGTTGCGGAATTTGTTCCCAAAAACAAAACATGATAAAACAATGTTTACCAAAGCATTTCATAAAAGAAATGTATTTTTCATTATATAATCAAAACTCGGGGTGTCATGTTCCGATATAGACCAACAAGCATAAACGATAATATTATAAGTCATTCAACAAATATTTACATATATAGACTTGTAAACAAAACAACCTGATGGTTCATCCATCTTACGCCCTTGCACCACTTCCTGTAATACAAATAAAACTGAGTGGGTCAAGCTTGGGAGCCTGGTGAGCATATAGGGTTTTCAACCCACAATAAATAATTAAATTAATTATTATCAACCAACAATAACCCAGTTACCCATTCCCGTTATTCTCACTTTACGTCCCTAAAATAACTAACGCAAGGGACCTAATCTAAGAATATTTTCATCGGGGTGACAACACATGCTGCGGGGTTTCCTCAGCAATATAAGTCAAATAAGGCAACCATGAGGGGGATGGAATACAGCGAATGAACACCCAAGTTCATTAACACCTACAGTTATGAGCCTGCTAGCGTTCCACTGGACTATCTAGAAAAGTCTGTGGTCGTCATCTAAATTCCGCTAGATGACTGGATCAAAACAACAACGAGGCCTCTCATCTGTTTATTACACACCAACTATCTACCCATGTTCTACCCAACATATTAGTAGATAAAAACATACATTTTTATACATATTTTCAAAACCTGTATAGCATGCTTGATCAATACATTTTCCATATAACAGATGAGGCACACACACATAACACGTATTTCATATAGAAATAATCATATCTGTAAGATAGAAGAAAGTGAATATACATTCACACACATAACAACAAAATATACACATAACACGTATCTCGTATAAAATACTTCATAGTTATACGTTATGAGAAAGTAACAACGCATTCACACGTATAAACGACAATAAACTTAATACACTCGAACCATACTTGTATTATTATTGCGTTTATGATAAGGTAGTATACACTCACTTGATCAGAAGGTGATCGGACAACACTACGGCTTACAGAAGTCGTAATCCTCAGCAGATCTGGAAGATCTCTACGAAAATCGAACTTCTCGCGGGCAGAGCTTCGGCTCGGAAACCGCATTTCTCGGGATCTTCGGGATCTCGGGACTCGCTTCGGGACTCGGGAATATTACCGGGGCTTCGGGATGGCTTCGGGGGTAAAAACGCAGAGCTTCGGCACAAAAACGAGAGGAAATTAGCAATTAAACCCGGACCCCTCGCATCCTATTTATAGGAGGCTGGAAGCCCAAGTTACGCGGGGCGTACAACAGTACGCAGCGCGTACTGCTTCCGAAATGCGTCAGCGCATGTGTCATCCGAAGTGTCGACACTTTGGCTGTACGCGGCGCGTACCTCGAATCAGATATCTGACTCCCCCTTCGGATAATGCCGGATTTTTGATTTAAAAATAAATACAAATTATTTATCAAACTTCGGAAATTCATATCTTCTTCATACGAACTCCGTTTTCGACGTTCTTTATATCCACGGAAAGGTGAGACTACGCTCTACAACTTTCATTTAGACTCCGTCGGCTAGTTTTGACTTTATTTTTATTATTTATTTTTAATAAGCCGGGACAGAAAATTTCGTTATAAATTCATAACTTTTTCGTTTGACGTCCGTTCTCGCCTAACTTTTTATCGCTTTGATACTAACAACGAGATCTTCGATTCTCGTTTAGATCACTAAGGCTAAATATCGTTTTAACGTAAATTTCACTTTTTACGTTATTCAGCGTTGCCGGTTCTGTCGCGAAACTTCGACAGGTCATAACTTCCTCGTTATAACTCGGATTTCGGCATTCTTTATATCTTCGGAAACCTTGTTTCAACTACTACAACATTATCTAAAGATATCAAGTTTATTTTACACTTAAATTTTGACACTTATTTTTATTCTTAATTAATCAAACCACATAATTAAGCAACTAAGCACAAAACACATAATACTCAAATAATACACTTATATTATTTCAAAACGGGTTACAAAGGTTAACCTAGACCATTACATTGATAAAAATAGCAAGCCCGGAAACACAGACGTTACAGCCCAAAAGTAGAGCAACAGTAGAAAAAAATAAGGATAACAGAAGCGGTGTTTGGTATTAGACCAATTATAGTGCAAATCATGGTTAAGCATTTTCTTGGAATCCATCCCATTTTACTCCATTTACAACCAAAATCTTGATTTTAAGAAAACCAATTCTAGTGCACATATGAAACCATTTTTATTTAAGATATATTTTATAGTAATTTGGTGTGGGTATCTTTTCTTTTTCTAGGATAATTAAGAAATTGTACAAAAGAGACTTTCATGATCATTAATAGTCTGCAATAATTAGAGTAAGCATCTTTTTTTTTTTCGTTGTCAAAACCCTAAAGTATCTTTTTTTTTTTTTTTCTGGATACCAAATTTTTTTTTAAGGGATTTGACATATGTTGAACTTTTTGCAAAAAACCAAATAGATAAATTCATAAAAGTACTAATAATTACTTCAAA